CATAACTTTGAGCCAGCTATAAAGAAGGTTTTGAAGGTTATTGACATTACAAAATTTGGAATTCTCAGACAGAAGTGGCTTTTTGCAATATTAGATCACCTTTTTTTTCCTGTCCATTTTGCCCCACTGGGTTACTGAGCATGTTGTAGATTCATAGAATAATACATAGCCACTCCACCTTGTCCTGTCCCTCCATCCTTGTCCCCAGTCCCTCTCCAGCTCTCCCGGAGCCCCTTTAGGTACTGAAATGGGCTCTAAGATGTCTTTGGAGCCTTTTCCCCTCCAGGTGAGCACCCCCCAGCTCTCCTAGCCTGGATCATCTCTGTGTTCTCCTCTGGATTTGCTCCAGCAGATCCAAGTTATTGTCCTCAGAGCTGCTCCCCATCCATCCTCTTCCCAAATCCTGTGTTTGGGATTATCCTGACCCACATGCAGGGATATCCACATCCCCATCTCTGCTGCTCACAAAACCTCAGCTGTGTTAGAGACTGAAGTGCTGAGAGATTGCTGAAGTCTACAAGACTCTGAAATCAAAGGCAGCAACATTAATATTCTGTGCAAATGTGAAGAAGCCATGAAAGCTTTGTTTGTTGCTAAAGAAACCAACTAAATCAAACAAGTTGAAGAAAACAAAGACTTGTATAATTGTTTTAATTAAAACTGCCACTTATTCCAGAAAAAAAAACAAAAACGCAGCACAATCGTGCTCTCCAAACATTTCTTGCTTAGACTTGCATGCTCAAAATCTGTGTATAATAAGTGAAATAAAACATTGCCAGCCATTTTCCAGCCCTGTTCGACACAAAAGCTCCAAAACAAATTGCAAGAAACCCATGCAAAACTTTGTGATGTTTACTTCAGATTTTATCCCAGAGGAATTTATGGAACTTGCCATTCAACTGCGAAAGCATGTTATCTCAAATGAAATGCAACGCTCCCTAAATCTTCAAAGAGCATCATGGCAGTTGGCCACCAAATTCACTGTGACTTTAGACATTCAAAAACAGCATTAATGCCAGGATCTGGCTGCCCTGTGTGGTTATTTTGGGTTTGGGCCCTCCGTGCATTCAGCCTCTGGTAAAAGCCATGAGATTGCTTTGCCTTCCTTATCCCCTTCACCTTCTCACTCCACAAGGTTGTTTTGGCATCCCAAAATAGGTCAGATACAGAAGGAATCCTGCTAGTTTCTCAGCTCCTGCAACCAAGCCCCTGTTTTTTTAATGTAAAGTATGAGAGATATAAATACATCTTAATTTTAATCGAAGGAGAATGTCTGACCTTTCTGCAAAATGCTGTCACTTGAGGTTCCTGTATTTCTTCTTTAAAATATTCATTAGGCTTTTAAGCATGCGAGTTCAGCTTAAATTTGAAATATTTTGCCTTCTTCAAGTACGGAGTTGCTTCCACTGCAAAATTTGGTCCCACATTTCACTGTTCTTGTATGAACCCAGCATGTTGTCACTCTGTGGCAAAGAGGCTGTTATAAAATCTGAACCACACCTGCCTTTCTCTCTCAAATAATCTGTTCAGATACTGCAGTTTGGCTTGAACCTGTCTTTTATCTCCTTTTCTCAGCACTCTGGGAGCTTTTTATCTCCCCTAATACTTATATTTGTGTACAGCAGTGTTGGGAACCATTTTTTGTATATATCAATTTGTTATGTCATTTCAAAGATCTTATTTTTCTCCATGCTTCCTAAGCATTTTTAAACTTGACAGAAGAGGGGGTGACTATTAGAAACATCCTACAGGAAGCCATAATTTATCATCAAAATACTTGCAAATTTCTTCTGAACATGTTACGTTGAGCTTTCTGGAGACTGCAAAGATTATAGTAATGGCATTTTTTGTCTTTTCTTTCTTTTTTTCTTTTTTTTTTCCAGTGGCTGGATGACTGAAATAATTTCAAGTCTATTTTTTTTTACTAGAACCTGATCACCACCTGTTTGAGTGAGGAGACTGAGGACTGTTTGAAAGTAATGCCTTTGGCAACACATACACTTTGCTCAGTCTCTCTCACATCTTCATTTTATCATATAAAAGGCTTTTCCAAGTGGTGCCTGAGAACAGTAAAGACCTCATTAGGAGCTGAAAACTGTTGGGGATTTCAATGTTGATAATGAAAATCTTATTTATGGAATTGCTGAATACGCACATAAAGTCTAAAAAGCAATAGCCTAATAGATGAAATAATAGTCCAAGGGAAAAGGAGGAATGTAATCACATCATTCCTATTTTCTAATGGCCATTTCCTTGCTTAGTCATGTTGAAAGAGAGTCAGGGAACTGGAAGGTGCAGCTGGTTCTGGCATCTTCCAGGCTGGTTTCAGGACTCGCATAAGTTTCCTGTCCAGTTAATATTTTGGTATATGCAAAAGGTGTGATCTGTCAGAGACTGCTGAAGATCTGGAAATATTCTTCTGCCTTTAGGCTCAGGTAAGAAAAGGTGTGAACCCCCAGCAGAGAAGGAAGAAAAAGATAAGTATGGATGAGGAAACTCCCATCGTTTTCTAAAACTGGGCTGTAAATACATGGTAATTAAATTTATGATAAATACAGCTTTTCTGTGATTAAACCCATCAGATGCTGCAAAGCCAGGACATGTTTACCAGGGAAATGTATGTTGTGAGGGAATAATGGCTGTACAGCTTCCTAACTCTACTTCATTGCATGCATTTATTCCTCTGAAATCAGCAATCATGTCAGAATAGAGCTAGTTAAATATGATGGGAAATAAGGGCCTTTAATACAAGCCTCTGTGCCTGTCTGTCCTTTTATATGGCACCTCCCAACACAGTGTCTGCGTGCAGAGTTCTTCACCCTCATCTGATTTAAAATGGAATGGATGTGGTGGAGACCTCTGGTCCGGAGCAAACTGCCCGAGATGAATCAGCTGCTCAGGTTGGCCTCACAGAAAGGATAACGGGGTTCTGTGCTCACAGCTGAGTTATTTAAACGGTCTGATTTGCTCCTGGGACATGAATGGGCCGAGTGCTCTGTCTCAGCCCCTGGTGCAGGAGGGGTCAGCCTTTGGAAAGCTGGATCAGGGCAGAGCAGCCCTGGAGCCCCTGGGAGCCTTCCCAGATCCCATCTCAAAGTGCTGGATCCTTGGATCGATGCTTTGGGTTTGATCTCCCTTCCTCCAGTCTCGGGTTTTGGTTGATAATTGCTGCCCTGAGATGTGCAGGATGTCTCTGCTTCGGCCCACGCAGCTGAAGAAGGAGTCTGGACTCTTCACTTTTCGGTCTTGAGGTTGTTTATTAATTCTTATCTGTAAAATTTTCTCTCTGCCCAGCTGAGATCTGCTCAACAAGGCAGCCACAGGCACTCAGTGTTGTCCTTTTATACTACAAACTACCTGTAACATATTTGCCCTTAATTCCCAATACCTATCACCTATGTTAGACAGTGCACTTCTACTCTAAACCAATCCCAAAGTGCCAACAGCACTGCAGAAAATGGAGAACACGAAGAAGAAAGGCTGGACATGCCCAGATTCCTCCATCTTGTCCTCATAACCCCCATACCAAAAATCCTAAAATCTATATTTTCACCCTGTGATCATTTTATTATTACACCATTCAAACCTCTGTGACTTTGAGGTCCTCATACAAAGCTGGTAATTTTCTCCAGGGGTCAAAATCAAATCCCCAGGTGCTCTGGGCTGGGTGCCAGGGTCTCTGAGCCCCCTGGTGGGGTCCTTGGCAACTCTGGACACCCAGAGGGATGCACTGAGTTCCAGCACTCCGGGAGGCTGGGGATGGCTCACATGCTAGGAGCACATGCTGCTGCTGCTGGTGCACCCTGAGGGAGGAGGGTTGAGGACTTCTCAGGAGGCAGCTTTTCCTAAGCTTTTTCCAAGCAAGTACAGGCTCGGATGAATTGGAAGGATTTCTCTGGACTACAGCAGTTTTGGTGAAATTGCTGAGAAGCAGCATTATCAGGCAAGGACACTTTTAATTCAGTAAAGATAGAATGCTTCAGCTGACTTTTGTTTGATTCTATTGTGAATTCTAAGGTACTATTGTGCACACCTTGAAGCCATTAAGGCAAAATGAAGAATTCAAATAGGATCAAGATTAAATGTTTTCTACTGCCCCAAACAAAGCATAATTCAATTAAAGTACCTTTGATGATCACTACACTGCAGCAATTTCATTTTTGAGATATAGCTCATCATTTAGATTAATCCTCCTGCTTGAAAGAAAAGCAAATTTTGGCATGCTGATGTTTCCTGCAGACCCAGCAGCCCATGAGAAGGATTGGAAAATTCAGACTGAGAGCATCTCTCTTCCCTTTCCCCAGGTCCTCTCTTTGATGCAGGACCATGGCAGGAGGGAGAGGAGGGAGAAAGATAAGAATTGGGTTTATCATCTATAAATACAGACAGCCCTTCACACTCACTTCCTTGAGAAGTCCTGGAGCACCAGGGGAAAGAGGAACAAAATAAATCTGAGAGAGGCTGGGAAAGCTCTGTGCATTTCAGGAATGTTCAGAAGCAAAGTTAACTCTGGCAGCCCACGTTCTTTAAAAAGACACCATCAATTAGTTTCTCAAGTTTGATTCTGTCCTGTATCTCCCAGCTGGAAAGTTTGGTGGGCAATAAGCATAAGTGGGTTGTAGAATATAAATCATTGCCCCTGACACCCAGGGAAAGCATCACTTGTTTTATACTGATGTGGTTGTGGTTGCTGCAGATTGCTTGTGCAGAATCTTGGGCAGGATCAGCAGCTTGGTTCAGGCACAGATTTTTAGATTATGGGAGTTAGAAGCTGAAAGAAATTGTTAGGAAGTTTAACAAAGAAAGGCTGTGATCACACTTTGACCTAAAATGGAATTAAACTGCCCACTGCTAAGGGACCCAGTAGCAAACCTGCCAACATTACTCAAAAATATTTTAAAATTTGTTTTATATGGACTGTGCTACATTGGATTTCTTCCTGCTTGTTTTTATGTTTGATTTTTTTTCCCCCATAGGTGAAGATGATGTGGAAAATAGACCATACATGGAAATCTGTGAATCTTGTGCTGGCATCTGCATAAAGGATCATTTTCTGGGAGGTAGGCAAATGGGCCATTGCTGGTGTTGATTAAAAACAGTCTTATGGTTAAAAAAAAAAAAGATAACAAAAATCCTGTCCTCTAAACCAACAAGCAAGTGACACCCAAGCCAGGAAGCTCAAAATCAACAAAATAAACCTTATTCCAAAAGCTGGATTTGGTTTTTAATTGACTGATTTCCTACCAATAAGAGGACATTTCAAGCTGGTGGGCCCGATGAGGTCCTTGAAAGCCCAAACTGAACAAGCATGTGAAATATTTAAGGCCACATTTTTATATTTATTAAAAACAGCCTAAATAATTAAACTAGTTGATTCACTGGTGGCTTTCAGGCTCATGCCCAGAGTGAAAGGTCATGACCTGACATACCAGGGCCCCACTTGGTACTGATGATTGACAGGAAAAGGAAATAAGTTGATATCTTTCACGTGGGAATCACAGCTTGTAGCAACTATGAGCAAGTGGGCTATTTGGACTTTGTGGGAAAACTTAATTGTGTTATTATTCAAAATCTTCGTTCCCAAAGTTGGTTCAATGGTGATTTATTTACTTATGTGATAAAACAGCTGTGTACTGTAATAAAATACAGGTCACTCGCTGATGTTTAATGCACAAAAGTGAAGATATGTTTGGGTTTTTTTGCTTTGAACTTACCATCAAGCTCAGCAGCAGGGATGGCTTTGAATTATTAGGAATTTTCTGTTAGTGTATTGGAAATATTCAATGTTCTCATCATAGTATATATTTTTCAGTGCTTGGTTATGGAGAAGGAGGAAGGCACCATACTCTGAAATATGAGTGCCTCTCCACCATATGCTTTCATTATTTCTTTATAATGATAAAAAGGGGCTGCATTCAGTGCCAGACAATGTCATGGCCCCAGAGATTTCAGTGGCCTGCAGAAGAAAGGAGAAAAAAGCATTTATGATATGAATGAGGATTTGAAATGGCTTTTTAAAAAAAGGCCTAAGATCCACTTTCACCCTAAATTCTGAAATCACTTGAAAGATGTCTAGATGCAGGGTTTGAAGAATAGCAACTTTCCACCAGGCTCTGTTTTAAATGCAGGATGGCTGCCATCTTCACCAGGCTTTGTTAGGAGGTCAGGTAATTGTACCAAGCAATAGGTCACAGCCTAACTTCACGTTCTGTGTGATTTGTTCTAGCAGTGAGCCCTGTCATCTTGATCCAGAGGGCATTTTCTGTGCCCCAGTCACTTACAAGTCAGCCAAGGGATGCACTCTGGTTTATCACTCTGAGTTCAGTGGGTTTTGTGTGAGCTGCCCTGTCTTTGTGCCTTTCTGCTCCTTCCCCAAAGTGTGGGCATGACATCAGCTGGGCCAGGCTGCAGGGCCAGGCCGCACTCCAGGGATTTTTGTGGCCTTTTCCAGAAATTCCATGCACTGCCAGCTCCTGCAGCCCTGTGTCTGCTGGATGATAACAGCCCATTAAAATTCCTACAAAGTCAAAAAGTAGTTTTACCCCAGAGCAGGCCATGGTGAGGAAAGTTTGCACATTTCAGCTCAGTGTGACACCACAGTTTGGATGATAAAGCAGGCAGTGCTGGCATTTCCCTCAGAATATCTCCACTTCTTTTCTGAGCCTTTCCTCATCTCTTATTCTTGATTCAGAGCAAAGCAGTTCTGCTTGGGAAGCTCTGGAAACTCTGCCAATTGAACCACAATCACCAGGAGAACTTTAAGCCTTAAAATAATCTGATTCTAACACCAGTTACACAGTAAATCAAGATAAAAGTTGCTTCACAGAGTAAGTAAGAGCTGGTGGCATTTCTTTTTCATTTTTTTGATGTTATTCCTTCATATTTAACATCTGGCAATAGTGCATGATATTTTACCAACAGCACAGACATCAGATCCTGCCACAGGAGTTCAGGTCTGTGATAAGTAAATCATCATCACTGGCTGAGCAAGGAAATCAAGAGAAATGGGTCCAGGGGCAAAAACATGCTCAAAATTGAAAACCTTTCTGCAGCAATACCAACCTACTTCCTCTGAACATTTGAGCAGAAGGGGGAGGTACTCAGCTCTCTCAGTACTTTCTGTCCATCCTTGTCCTGAAAGGAAAGGGCTATTCTCAACCCAAATCCAGCCAATTTCTGGAATTTATTCTCTTACAGAATGGAGATACAACAAACTGGAGAGCAGCTATCACCAGAGCTTTCTATAAAGCAGCAGCTGCAGATATGTGGAAACTTGTCCCCTGTGTTAGAGGCCACGGTGTGACCCTGCAGGGCCCATGGAAGTGTTTAAAAACCACGATGACACTGGGTTCTGACTGACTGTGTCTAGATTCAGCCTGAACATCAAGAGGAGAAGGGCTCTGTGTCCTGTGCCAATTCTCTGATCTTTCCATGGCTCTCCTCCTCCTCACCTCCAGGCTCTGTGTCTCAGCAGCTCCCTGAAGTGAGCACCATGACATGAATCTGGAAGGGAAGAAGCCCTCAACTCTTCAGAAAAGAGCAGTTATTCTTAGCTTTGTTTTGCTGATGTTTTTCTTTCTTTTCCCCCCCCTTTCTTTTTTTTTTTTTTTTTTTTTTTAAGAAAACAGAAAGCCTGCCAAAATTTGGGCTCTTTGATGTGCTTTGGAAAGAAAAACAATACTATCTATCCAAGTCCTCTGAAAGGAACAAAAATATGTCATTTTCAGGCATGAATTACTTGAGGAGAACAATCAATACATTTCACAATTAAAGATGGTCAAAAGTTTTTTTCATATTTTTCTGGAAATTGTTTATTAAGAAAATTTCTGAGACATTTGCGTGTTTCAGTTAAACTTTCTTTGGGAAGATTTCCTGAATTACAAGGTAGGTGAAAGGCAAGAGGAAGACACTCATATTTGCTGTAGAATATTCAATAACCTAAAAATACTTTGGGGGGAATATGCAAGACCCCATCCAAGCATTTCTTCTCTTGGTTTGGATTGAGTAGGTGAACCTGCCTCATCCATTTTATTCATCTTTCTTTGGGATGAGCAAAACAGTTAGGTCATAAAAGCAGGATCTGTTCTGTAATGTTTGTTTGTTGATTCAGCTCTCAGTGGACATTTTGCTTTGTAAAACTCTTATAAATGAGACACTAACTGCATTGTCTCATATTTAGGAAATTTGCTTTAGATGGAAGCCTCCCAGGTTGGAATCTTTGGCAGTAAATGTAGGGAAGCTTTTGAAGCTGCAGTCTTGGAAGTCATGACATAATAGCTAAACTTCTGTTTGCCCTCTATTTTTAAGTTTTCTCCTCCATCACCCCAGCAAATTTTGAAAGAGCTGATTTATGCTATGAGAATTTTTGACATTTTTATTAAGTCCAGGCATTTAATAAAGACGTTCTTTTCTTCAATGTGATTAAACTGAGGTAAAGAGGCACTTGTGCTATTTCTCTCTTCTTATTGAAGTTTTTAACAGATTTCCTTTTTTTTCCTTCCTGTGACAGGGCCTGTTACATCATTTCCATGATCTGCTCTCACTTTCCACTGCAATGGCTGCATGGGAAATGCATCTGCTTCTACAACTGAGCTTTAAAGAGGTTTGTATCTATTACTACTATTCTTGGTCCAGTGTTTTCAAGATAAAGAAGAGAAAAGAGAAAAACAGAGTACAAGTTAGACATGGACTGCAAAGGACGGGGACTGTTTCTTGAGGTTGGTATGAAGGTGTTTGTTCTCTCATTGCCTGTGCTACACTTGCTCTATGGATTGGGCTGGTTTACTTGGAAAGATCAGGGAAATCTAAAGTGGATTGGAAGAGAGCTTAAAGATCATCTCTCATTCCAAGCCATGGAAGGAAACATCACTCCTTACCTCAAACTCCAACTACTTAACTGAGAAATATAACAAAGCCTGGCTTTCAGACAAAACATGTTGTGTATTTCTTGAAGGTTTCTTAGTTTGACTTTGATTTCCAAAAATTTGAGACTTCTACAATATCTAATCACCCTGTGAAAGTCCAGGCCAGGATTTCAGACTTTGGGGATAGCAAGCAAATGCCTTAAATTAGAGGTTTCAATTAGAGAATATTAAATTCTCTTCTGTAACAAGAGATGTTTTAGGAGAAATGGGAATAGCCAGGTGGGAGTAATTGGTTTTGGAAGAGCCGAATGTGGGAGCTCTGCCCAGCACTTTCTTTTATTACAGCTGTTTTCCTTCCACAGCTCAGGAAAACTCATATTCATGCACAGCCTTACACTTCACTGGGATTCCCTGACTTGGAGACTGTCAGCACTGGCTTATTATACAAGCTCTTTGTTTTATCCTACACAATGCATCTCGCCATACACAATTTGGCCTCTTAACCTGCCATGAAATATTTCAAGGGCTTGTTGCTGGAAGGCCTCGCCTCTCCTGGCTGTGATTTGTGCATTTCCCTGACAGCTTCTAACGGCTCGTGGTGGGCTGCAGCACAATGAACTCACGCTGCAGAGCAGCACACTGAAAAAGATCTTTCAAATTATTGTTCCGGTGCAAAAGGTGCCCAATCACCTTCCACCTGCGGATTAGCTGGTTGCTATAGGAACACACTGTAGCTTTTCAGTGCTGTGCTGCTGTAGTGCCCAGATTACTGACTCTGACAAACACAATGGGGGGAAAGAATCACGGGTTATTAGCGCTGCTGCTGATGATGTGGTGTTGTAAACCAGGGGTGGCACGGAGGGGATGAATAGAGCAGGAGCCTTGGAACGCCAAGGACGGGAGGAGGAGAGGGAGCAGAGTGGAGCGGAGCTAAAGTCATCGCCACGGAAATGTTCTCTTTGATCTCCTTCTCCCCTCTGAATAGGTATTTTCATAATGTGATGCCAAATGCAAGCAATGCTGTAACTGATGGCAGAGCCACTGGTCATGTCTTTATCTTTGCAGGGGGCTGCTCCTCCTCTCTTCCCTTTTCTTCCAGTGAGTGCTGAAATCTGAACCTTTTCATTCCTGAAGGATTAACTCTGACCAAGGTCAGAGCAGCTAGTCACCAATATTCATCGTGGGTGAGTCAGGCCTCCCTGGGAAATATCACCTGAAACATCCACCTACACAGGGCTTTACTGGGGAATTTTGCAGCGTCAGAAATGGGGAATGAGCAGCTGAGATCAGGCCTCTGTCTGCTTTGGTGGCCATGACTGAGGCTCAGGAGTTTATGCTGCTGAGCACCCTCCTGCAGAGAGAGCTGCCTGTGTGTCTCATAGGGGAGAAATAACTGCTTGCAGCTCTGATTTGTAGATGGTCTAAAAATTCCCAGGAATAGCTTTGCTACCACTTGTGCTTGGGCAGGGTGAAGCGAAGGAATAAAATATATACTTGTCCATTGCCTGTGTGCCTTGAGCAAAACAAGCTGTGTTTAGTCACAAGTTCACCAGATGGTACTCTGGGGGTTATTGCTGTTATATTACATTACTGCAATATATTAGACAGGGCACAGTGATTCATTCCCTCTCCTCAGTGCTTTTGGAGGCTGTTTCCCTCCCGATGGAAGCTCGGCTGACCCTGCTGCTCGTGACCCTTGGGACCCCTGTGGGCTCCTGTTGAAGCACCAAACACCAGAGGCAGCACCAGACCTTGCACAAGGCCTGGCTTGCACTCTGAGAAGTGGCTTCACTTTCTCATTTGAGACAGCTGATGTGGGACATCATTTTGTTTCAGCCCTGGCTGCCTCCTCCCTCCTGCCCTGCTCCAGCTCTGCTTGTTTTGCCTCCTCACTGGGGCCTCCCCGACCTTGCAATTGGACCCGTGTGACCCTCCAAGCAGGGACACGGCCTTGCTCAACCCCTTGTTTGCAAAATGGACTGAAATACAGAGTTTGCACTGTACTTTAGAGCCCAAGGACTATCAAAACACCACAGAGAGGTATTGTTTTCCTCCGCTTCTGTTACTCTGTAGGCTGAAACCCTCAGCCCAGTGAATTATGTGCTGGCTGACACCTAAGAACCCATCCTGGGTTGGTGCCACATGTGCACGCAGGGCATAGGTGCTGCTGTTGGTCAGCTGGACAGCCCCTGGGACCATCTGCCACCCCTCTCTGGCCTCCCTGTCTCACCATTATGCTCACTGACCAGCTGCCTTTCCTCATTGCCCTTGACAAAGCTCCCAAGCCACAGCCACCCCTTGCTGAGAGAGGAGACAAAGAAATGCCACAGCCCCTCACTCTCCCCATGGCCTTGAGCTTCTGATCTCAGATCCTTCTGCTCCCCAGCCCTGCCCTCGTGGTGCCAGCACACTGACTTGTGCTTTCCCCTAGCCACAAGCTCAGGATCACAATTTACTTCAGTTTTGCCCGAGGCATCTGAAAGAGTGATGGAAAAGTTGGTCAGAGCATGCTTGGATCAGAATTTCACTGCAGGTGTTACTGTAATTTCAGGCAACTTGAAAACTGCAAATTGGGCCCTCTGTCCCTTAGATTATGCTTCTCATTTTATGATCCTCTGGTGGAAAATGAATTTCCTAGGCTGAGCTCCTGTCTGCAAATTTAGAGGGACAGAACACACGCTGCCTCTTCAGTTTTAAGTGGCTTTAAATGGGGACATAGAATGGAAATTGAGAGGGACACCTAACCAGGGAAGTATGGAAACCCAGCTCCAATAAAGGGATGGGAAAACCTTCCATCACCATCATCACAGGTATGCATGACCTTAGCAGAGCTCAGGAGTGCTGTGGGAACTGCAGTGCAACACTCCTGTTATGCCTTATTTTTTTATCAACAATGTTCTCCTCCACTTTGACGTCAGCCCCGAGATTGCTGGCTGTGGTGCTCTGCACCTTTCATATTTTCTTTCCAGTCATAATATTGCTTCAGTCGTAACCTCAGCACTTTGAGGAATAATTGTCCCTGACAAGGGGGTGAATCACTGGCAGAGAGTTGATAAGCATTACATACAGATGACAGAAGTCAGGACATATCGGATTACTGCTGTGAATATAATAAAAGAGAGCCTAAACACTTTGGCAGCTCAAAGACAAGCCATTTCATAACTCTCTAGTGGGGCTATTATCTTCCATTTACTGCCACTGATAACCAGGTTGCAACTGTCTCCCTAGGATCTAGTTACAATTCACTTAACACTTAGAGGACCAGACATATTGGAGGACACTCAGATGAGGATAATTTCTTAAAGATCATTTATTTTTAAATTTTTTATCTTCTTTGCTTCCCCTCTTTATAGTGCGATAAGAACCTAAATCAGGAAGCTTTGAACTTCTTTGGGGAAAGGAGAGTTCATGGTCATCTTCCCTTTAATCTTTCACTCCTGAGTTTCTTTTGAAGCCAGTTGTTCATCTCCAGCTGGATAAGTGACAAGCAGGTTTCCACCTCTGCTACTCTTGTCACGCAGACCTAAAAGCTTGTTCTGATACTGACTCCATTAGGTTTGCACGTGGGTGTTGCGTTTTCATTTTTGCAGCCAGGAAGGGGCACCTGAGCTTACAAATCAGGGGGTGTTGGTGTGTATCAGTAACAGATAATTCACAGCAGTGCCAATTACAATCCCCACTGGTGGAGGCTGGATACAGATGATATTTATATGCACTGTGTGAGATTTTGTTTCTAAACCTCCCTGCCTAAGAGGAGTTTAACACTTCATGCTCCCAGATGTCAAAGTTCTCTCTTTTAGGCTAAAGAGAAAAGGCATTATTTGGCTGTGGCAGAAATCTGGTAAATCAGCAGTGACTATTCTTACTGGCCAGCACATCAGTGAGAAATATTTATTAATCTGAGGAATTAACCCTTCTGTGTTAAGGGAAACTCTGTACTCTGCAGAACTTTGCTCTTGTATCCATACCATGATCAGCAAAGGTAATCTCTGCTCAGCTTTCAGCGTCTGAGGTGTTTGCAGATGCAGGCCAAAAGTTGATTCACCCTTTTTCAGGCTGAAGAATGAAGCATTTTTCTGTAAGTTTGGCCACATGAATCCACTCCAGGCTACCAGAGCCCCCTTCCCAGCCCCTGGGGGAGGAATATCTTGGCCAAAGGTGGATCAGGAGGATGGGAGGATGAAATCTCAGTGCTGTTGGCAACTCAGAGGTTGTGCATTCATAAATGAACCCCTTATCCCATGCCCAAGTGTTCTCCTTACATTCCCATCACTGGAAGCTCTGCAAAGAAGCCTCTCTGTGTGTCTGAAGGGGCAGATTTGGTGATCTAGAAACTAAAAACATCCTTCTGTTACTTACTGCTTTAACCCACAGTGCAAACTTTACATCTCAGCTGGCCAAAAAAAGGTCCTTACTGCTTTATGTAAACCACCACAAATCTGTTTGGGAGAGAAATTGTACCAGGCTTTCTTAAACTACAAACAATAAGCAATGCTTAATTGCCTTTTCCTTATGCTTTGCATCTCTGCTTGATTTTTCACAGCACAAGTCCTCTTCTGCTACAAGGAACCTGTTAGGGGCAACAGCAATTAAGGAGGGAGGAAAGAAGCTGAAACAGTAATTCCAAGTGGTTTTCTCCTCAGGACTTCTGGATCCCACCACTGACTTTCCAGCAGCCAGGCCAAGGCAGGTGAATCCCTCTGTGCCCTGATGTATCCATCTATAACATAAGCATGGTCAGCTTTACCTGCTCCACCACTTTGTCATGTGGTGCACCCAAGAAATATCTGTGAATTGCTGTAAGATTCTGCCACCAAGGGAAGGCTGGAAGTGCCAAGTGTTGTTGTTGTTATTGTATTAACAATGTTGGCTGTTTTCACTGTTCATATGGTAGCCTGGCTGGAATTGGGCAGGAAGCCCAATAATACCAACAACCAACAAGAAACTAAAATAAAATGTTTTACTTAATGAGAGCCTCTGTTTAATCAGAAGCCTGTGTAATTATGTCACAGAGGGCTAAGGATCTAATGTTTTCCTAATACATTTGCTTTTAAAGGGACGATTAACCCAGCATATTTCAAGATGATAAGCTGCTTCTTTGTTCAGTTCCAGTTATTTTTTTTTTCTGCATTCCCTGGTGAGTCCAGAGAGAACCTGAGAGTCAGAGGATTTTTCTTAATTGCGCCATAACTATCTTGTATGTCTGATGCTGGAGCATTTTCTAAAGACACAGGTTATTAGTCCTGGGTTGGATGGGTTTGCAAGAGAATTCAGATGCTGAATTTATTCTGGTTTGGCTCCTCTGAGGCATGGCATACATTACAGAAAGGCCTCAGTATTCCTGCCTAAAACAGTCAATATTCTTAGCAAGCAATTTGATCAGGAAGAAGGAATAAAATTATACCTTACCTTGAAACAAGTAAATCTTGGTTTAAGTATTGAAGATTGGTTTTGGCTTGCTTTTAAATGTTATGTTTCTGCACATATTTTGCAAGATCTGTGCACGTGTCTGTCCTTTTCAGGTCAGTTCTTTTCATATGTTTTGAGGAGAATAACTAACAAAAAAGCTCTTCATTTCCTAAGGACCACTGTCTTAGGAGATGATAAACATCAGTCCATATTGAGATTCCAGGAAACACATTTATGCTGCATGAGATGGAGGAAAGGTCTCTGCCATGTACATGAGGTTCTGTGATTTACTCTTAATGATATGACTGTAAAAGATCTCATGGACCCTCTGGGGAATTTATCCCAAATTTTTTGCCAGGAAGGACATTTGCTAATATCCAAGGAGGCTCTTCCAGGACAAGTCCTGGTTTGCCACAGGGAGGATGGAAGACTCCCCATTGGCTTCCCCTTTCTTTTGTGAGTAGCCACAAACATCAACACCTGTGTTTATGGTGTGGTGACATTTACTGGGTCTTTGTACAAACTCTTTTACAGTGTGGTTTGCGTTTGTGTTTAGATGTGAAAATGGTGAGGATGGGATACCTTTTCCATGTAGTGTGGTAGTCCTACATATTCCTTGATTGCTGCAAGTTGCTTTAAAAAGGGGGGAAAAATGGAAGCAAAAGAAAGGTGCCTCCTTTTATATCAGCTATTGGCCACACGGGACTTTGGTAGGAAGGAAAGAGTTAATAATATTATTATCAGGTCAGCAACTTTGAAAGGCTCTTCCACTTTGAAAACCATTTTCTTAATTATTTTACGTTAACACTTAAATGCATAGAAAAAAATCACGTGTAATCTGAAACCCCAGACTTGGGGACAGGACTGGATTGAGATAACATTAAAGATTTTATTGCTGTTACATTATAAATTATTTCTATTATGATGGCCCTATGGGTATTACATTCTGTCAGTTCGCTTTCACTGTTACATCACTTAATGTTATTAACACACTTTAGGGTATAACATTACAGTTTTATTGTGGATATCTTAAACACTTACATCCAAAGTACTGAATCAAGTTATTATCCTAGCTGACCAGATCTGGTCTATTATCATTTTATCACTCATAAAAACCTGTGATTCAATTTGATTTAACACTTGAGGAAAAATCATGGCTCATATATGCTTAAACCTAGTTGCAATATTAATACAAAGCAACACATGGATGACTTCATTTTATTAAAGTTGAGGTAGCCCTGGGAACTGCATTTATGATTTTATGCCACATGAGAAATTTGATCTGACCTGTTGCCATTTGTGATTCTCCAGTAAACTAATGAGGTTTTCTCACCAGTATATTAAAGAATTGTGAACGTTTTACCTTTCTTACTGCATTCATTAGACACTCAGAAACCATAAATTTATCATAATGCCCTAACCATGGAAAAAGGTGCTCTTCCCTGTCTTGGAGTCCTGCCTTGTAGACTGGTAAAATGTTGCACTTTAGAAGGCAAACTGAGTTTAATACTTGAACAAAATGAGCCCCTTATTTCTGTGCTTAGAGTGTAAACACTTTTCTGTGCAAGACAACTCTGTGTAGTCTAACAAAGCTCTTTTACCCTTGCACAACATTTGGAGGGAGAAGTTGATCCACTGAAGTCACTGGTTGAACATCGATTTTGGTTTGTTGGCTTTGTTTGCTGCCACTGCCTGAAATATTTAATATCTTGCTCAGGTTATCTGTTATGTCCTTTGAGGAGAAGACCCAAGGACCGTGTGCGAAATTTAAAATGTCAAAACGAAACGTTTCATCTGTTCCACTTCAGGGGAAGGGAGCAGACGAGGCAGTGCCAGCGTGGAAGAGCAGAGTGCTGAATGACCCTCAGCAAGGAGCTGTGCTGCTGCAGCCCCGTTCCCAGCAGAGCCGGGGAAGGGCTTTGCAGATCCAGGAGTTCACGGGTGCAGTGACACTCCCGGGCACGAGGGTGGATGCGCCGAACCCACCGGCCCCGCTCCGTGCCATGCGCGCAAAATCACCCTGGCAACAGAGCTGACAGCTTGGGAACAGCAGCTGCTGCTTAATGAAAAACATTAGAAAAATAACTCATTCTACATCTCTGTCCTCTCTCTGCCTTCTCCTATTTATCACCAAAAAAAAAAAAAAAAAAGTGTTCTGTAGCCACCACCCAGAACTTTAAAAAGCCTCAAGGTGTGAGGGTCAGGCACACAGGTGTGCAGGCAGAGGTGAGTTTCAAAAGCCAAAAATAAAGTGACTGTTTAATTCCAACACACACATTTTTCTTCTTAAGCCACAGCTAAATTGCTTGCCACTGAGCAAGTGGGCCTATGTGCATCTTGTGGGAGCACTGGGAATGTGCAGTTATTTATTCTTGCATGGAACACGCAACAAACAAGCAGCAAGGAGGCCAAATGTGTGCTAAATTCCAAATCAGCATTCTTGGTTATTGCTGCTTGAAGTACCTCTGTTTCTGCTCAGCACTGGGCTCACTGGAAAGAAGTAGCCCAACAAAAGCAAATAACTGATAAAACTTTCCCCTTTTTAGTTTTCAATAAAACCAAATACCAATTTCTTTTTTTTTCTTCTGTTGGAAATGTTCTGGAAAAGTCCAATAAAGACAACTGTAAGGCAGCTTCCCTGGGTAAAAACCAAACCAAAGTAATGCTACATCACCATGTGAAATAACAAATTAGATGGAGAGACATTAACTAGTGTCATTCATCAGCCCGAAGTGATACAATTTATTACAGGATAATAATGGCCATAGCTGCATAGGTAGTAAAGGTAAAATTACATCATGACTTGCATTAGCAGTATGAGATTATAGCCTGATTAATGCACAATTAACTTGTCATGGGTACAACACATGTGTTTGTAGGTGGCCAGATGGGTTACACCACATCTCACACTCACATATGCAGCATTTATCACTTTCTCCTTATCTCCAGAAATAAGGGGGCTGCATCCCCTACAATCCTCAGCCCCCTCACTGCCTTGATGCAGAGCTGCCTAACATCAGGGTATGAGCAAGAAACCCTTGGAGATGACCCCTGGAAATCTCAAACAGCTGCATGAATGCTACTCCTCTCTGCAGATGGAGACCTCATCCAAGGAAATTCCAAGGAGCTTCTCCAAGGTGAGAGCACCAACCTCAGCTGCTCCTCTGCTGGCAGGACCACTCACCTGGGCTGCTCCCAGAGCTGGAGATCACTCTGAGCTGAGAAAGCCCCCAACACCCTAAAGCACTCTGGATGAGGAATCCCTTCTCTCTTTTATTCTCATTTTGTGGGGGAAATAATTCAGCTACGAGAACAGCTGAGAAAGATTTTTACTTTTAGTTGCAAGTATTGGTGGAGGTGTTTCAGCTTCACCTGAACTGCTCTGTGGGTGCAGAACTGGGTTATTTGTCCATGTGCTGACATGCAGGTTTGCTTTTTCATACTCTTCCTCCTTCTCTTGTGTTTTTTCTGCTGTGTGGCTGCAGGTCTGGCTGTGTGCAAACATGAATAAAGCAGCAAGGTGGCTGAAGGGAGACAAAGGGCCCCCAAGTTTTAATCTCTGTTCCATCACAAACTCAATGTTTGTCCTTGAGAAACTCATTGTAATTTCTCTTACCAGATTCCTCAGTCTGAAGGGGGAGGGATATTACATTTTTAGGCCAGCCTACCTCACACTGTGTGTGATATTTCAATTAGCTGTTTGAAGTTGGAAATTGCTGAGTGATGGCAGAACAGAACGTCTCAAAATACATGGCATCAGGTTTTTCTCTTTTTTTGCACACATTTTCAGTAGTGAAATCTTCTGGAAAGGATTGGCTCACTTTGATCCTTCCTGTGCTTTATTTTTATGCTTGATGGTACTCCCCAGTTCCAACACCAAATGATGGTCATTTTCCAGCATTTCCAATTTAGAAGCAAAAGCTTATACAATAAGGAAATAAATCTAATTTTGTTGCCATGAAATGTCTTTTCCAGCTGACAGTATTGAGCACTTGGATATGGGGCAGCCAGCAGTGGGGAACATGCAGATTCTGAGTCCCAGGTGAGCACATCCTTAGTGTTCAAGAGAAAAAGAGAACTATGTTATGTTTGTGTTCAACTGTTAGAAAATTCTAAAGTTCTTTAGAATTACTTTAGAAGCTTGGAAAGTTCTTTAGAATTACTTCTGCTGAATGGAATTTAGCAAAAAAA